TTCATCTTAAATTTAAAATTATCATGAAACTTAGAAGATTTTTTTTTGAAATCATGAATAAGAGGATCAAAGGACATACTTGATTAAATTTTCTTGATAAAGGTTGAATTAACAATTAATGTTATTTTTATTACTTCAAGATGAAAATACTTTGATTTTAAGAAGATTGTTCTTTATTAATCAAAAATTACTTCTCTTTCTTTTGGTGTAAGATAAGAATATCTAAAAGAGAGTGTGACAAATCTTGTTGTTTTTTGGATCAATCAGTAATCTTGAAATCAAATCTTCATAAAGACATCCTTTAATGAACTTGGCAATGATTCAAAATACATGTTGACATGAAGTACTCAAGATTCTTGTGATTTGTATACTAAGTGACTAGATTAGAAATGTCTTCTATATAATGGTGCCATTTTTAAAATAAATCCATGATTGCAAGAAATTCTTAATCATGGATCTCATAGCTAATCTCGACTGCTAAAAATTTTCTCAAATGAAAAGCTATGGAGTGCAACTTGTCATCTGCTCCCATTCATGATAAAACAACATCCATAGCAAAAATTGATGTATCTATTTTTATGAAGAATGTCTTTTAAAAGTCAACATAATACAAGATTAGTATAGAAATAATGTTGTCTTCAAGGCTTCAAAAGATGCTTCAACTTCTTTGCTCCACTCAAATTTGTCTTTACATGTCAAGTGTATAAGATGGAATACAACTTGAAAAAAATTCTTGATGAAGATCTGGTAATAATTGACAAAGCTTAAAAAAAATTACATATTTTTTATTATTTTTGAGATCTTCCAATCTATGATAGTTTGAATCTTCTTAGCATCCATCATAAAACCATTGTTTGAAATGATGTATCCTAGAAAGTCAACTTGAGTAGTGTGAAATATATACTTTTCTATCTTGGCATATAATCTTGCATCTTTTGGTTTTTGTAATATACAATGAATATGAAATTCATACTCTTCTATATTCTTAGAGTAAATCAAGATATGGTCTAAGTAAAAAATAATAAAATCATCAAGAAACTTACAAAAGATATCATTCATTAGATGTTAAAAAGTAGCTAGTACATTTGTGAGTTCAAAAAGCATGTTATTATATTCAAAATATCCATACCTAGTTTAAAACACAGTTTTTATTTATCTCCTTCTTTAATACAAACCAGATTATATACTCTTTATAGATCTATTTTTGCATAGATTTTTTCTTAAGTCAATTGATGAAGAAGTCTTAAAATTAAGAATAGAGGGTACCTATTCTTGATAGTGATCTTGTTGAATCTTTAATAGTCCATATACATCCGTAGAGATCCATCTTTTTTCTTCACAAATAAGATAGGAGCCCTGACTAGAGATTTAGAATAGCATATGAAGTTCTTAGCCAAATTCTCATCAATATATTCCTTAAGTGCAATCAACTTATTTTATAATAGGCTATAGATTGGCTCAAATGATACTTGAGCTCCTTTTTAAAAAACAATGGAACAATCATGACAATTTTCTAGAAGAATATCTACATTCTTATTTTCAAAGACATCTTAATAATTTTAGTATTAGCTTAGAATGCGACTTGAAATTTTTTTCTATCAAAAATAGATGTGGTGTATATAACAAAAGTTGACTCTTCGTTTGCAACATGCATGAAAGTTCTCACATCTATCAATAATTTTAAGATGTAACAATTTTATAGATTTTTACTTGCATAGCAAAACGTTGGACTAAATTATGGAAAAAATCAAGACTGCGAGAAATTCCATCTATCTAAAGATTATACCTGTTTAATCACAATAATCTTAAAATAATTGGAGTAAAAGGAGATTTAATCATATTAAATATTATTAAATTATTATAAATATTAATTACTATTTCTACAAGAATAATTTTATGTATAAAATCTCTAGAAGATAATGAAAAATGATCTATTATTTTTACATGTATAAGTTTGATTTTTTTAAATAAAAATATATCTTATTTTTTAACAAAGTCTTTGTTTATAAAATAAGTTGAGGCTCTTAAATCCAATAAGGCTAAGAATTTGTGATTTTTCAATCCTAAAATTTTTTTTATTATAAAACAAGATAAGAAATATGAGGAAAGAATATAATCTTTATTAGGAATTGCATAAGATTTCAGCCGCACAATCTCTATTATAGCTGGAGAGATTTGTTTTTTGAGACATCATCTTCTTTGGCAACCATGCTTCTCATTCTATGATTATCTTGCTTCTTTGGAAAATATTAAACAAGGTGCTTGGATTCTCCACAATATAGGTACAAATCCTCTTAATGACAATAAGGCATTTTTTTACTCAATAAGAGGTTTAAAATGTATCATATCAATTTGCATTAATTTTGGTCTTCATGAATAAGTTTTTAAAAACCTAAAAGCTGCTGTCATTACTTGACTTGTTTCATTTTGGCCAAATCTTTATTCTTGACACCTTTTAAATAATTAATTATTACATGTAATGATTTGATCAATAAATTATTTTAAAGATTTTACTTTTGACATTGTTAATAACAAATCTTTGATGTTGTCGTTCAATCCATATTAAAATTGTTGATAAGAATTTTATCATTCTAGTCCATGTTACAAGTGAAGTATTGGAATTTAGTAGCATATATGATAGTTGACCATGATCCTTGTCATAAAGATAAGACCTTGGTCTTTGCTACTCTTTCTTGATCATTATCTTCAAATATAGCTATAAATACTTTTAAGAATGAATTCAAATCATAAAGGAGTTGTGAAACTTTTTCTATTATTGATGCAAATCAAATAAGAGCTCTTCCAAATAAAAGTGCATCTATGAATCCAACTTGAGTAAATCCATCAAGATATTGGAAGGGATGTAATCTTAGATAGAACTAGATTTGTTGCAAAAATCCTCAAAATTTTGATCTTGTTCCATCAAACTTCTCGCGCATACTAATTCTTATCCCCATTGTACAAATACAAGTATAGCTTCCTATATTTAGTTGTAAGGTTGATCTACTTACTTCTTTCAACTACACAACTTCTTAATATAGACTTTGAACTACTTTCATAGGCATAGGAATATTGTTTCTTTGGTTGGCATTGGTGATGTATGAAATTTCTATCTTAAGAATATTGATAAGTTTGTAAAAATCTACAATAGTTGCAAATCCATTCTCACTTTTACCAATTGTAACATCCATAATTTTTTCTTCTATTTCAAATAACTCGACAAATCCATAAGCTAAATTAGAGGAGGGTAATTTGTAACCTCTAATATCAAATGAAAATTTCTACAAAGAGGGATAATTTCCTTTATTTAAGGAAAAAATTATTGTTAGAAAATTAAATAGTTTGTTTAAAAGTAGATAATCTACAATCTTCAAAATACAATAATAGAAGTAGGATAATTTAGTCACTTCTAAAATAAGATAAGAATAATGAGTTAGGATACTTGTCAAATTTCCAAGGACATGAATCTTGAAAAAAAAAAAAAAAAAAAAAAAAAAAAAAAAAAAAACTCAATGTATTCTTCTGTCACTCAAAAAAACTAAAAAATGACTTGAAGATAATATAATATTAAACTAGAATGACTATTATAAAAGACAAGAAGACTAGAAAGTCTTGAAATAAGATTAAGGACTAGAAAGTCATTGATAAGAGTGAAGAAGGGTTTATTCTTACCTCCATATATATTCTTAACTAGGAGCTACATGGCAATGTCTTATATGACCTCCAAAACATGTTGACTTTGCAAGACACATATTTTAACTTGCAAGACAAGTATTCTATATGTGCGCCACATAATTAGCTTGTTTTGTAAGCTACCAATACATGGTTTACTTGTTGACCAAGTTTCTAACCTACCAATCAACTATAAATATATATAAAGTCAAATCAGCGTCTATAAAGCTTCTAAGAAGCTTTTTAAAAAACTATCATAAAATAAATCTACTTTTATCTACTTCTACTTAATCATATAAGTAAATATTAAAATAAATATATATGTCCATAACATCTTGCAATACAAATCGTAATAGCAATCAATTCTATAACAACAATTCTACTATCTTTATCAATGTGCATTATTTAGAGAATAAAAATAATTCTTAGCACATGAATACATCTCTAAAGAAAAATAAAGAGATAAAAAGAAAAAAATAATCTACTTGGATCTAATTTAATGATGCTTCTTAAGACCCTATGTTTGAATATGTAATCCAATGCATCATCAATAAGACTAAAGACATGGCAAAAAAATTTGTAAAACAATCCAAGTATTGCCTATGTGACTAACCAAAACAAGTCACTTTTCACCACAAACCACATTCACTTTCATCAACATGCCCAAAAATTATTAAAACATCAACATACAAATACGAAATCAAAAGCACTGACGTACATACTACTATCACATGCCAAACAACTTGAAAACTACTCCTATTGCGTTCATACTCATTGTCACATACTCACTATCATACTTGGCCCTTCTCAACACTATTGGTGTTGTGTCCTCTCAACACTATTAGCAATATGAAGAAGAAATAATAAACTGCATAAAAGTCACAACCCCATTTGAGAAGGGGTTGACATAGTTCATCTGAGGTCATGGATGTTTATCATCTACTTAATCATGATGTACAGAACACTAACACCTTACATTCATAGTCAAAAATTCATCCTATATTATTGAATATTATATTATTATATATTAAGGCACATTGTGCACAGTGAATACAACTTGTTTATTGTTACAGATTGAAAGCTGAAGGAAAGGACGTGAAGATACAAGGGCAAGATAAAGCTCGAGTTGAGATACGAGCACAGGCGTGGATCTAAGCAGATAAGGTTGCGCGGATGATAGCACGAGGTTCTGGGGGGGGGGGGGGGGGGGTTGGGGGAGCAGCGACGGAGATTTTCTCCATAAATTTAGCAAAGCTGGCGGTGCCATTGCAGGCAGCGAAATCAGCATTGACCTCCAGCGCACTGTTAGTACTGGAACAGATGGAAGCTGTGGTTTCCGAGTCAAACCTGATGGTGCCGCTACCCACGAGGTTCTGCGGCGCTGAAAGCAATTCAGAGAAAGCATGACGACGAATTGACGATACGTGTAGTAGGTATTGTGGTTAAAAATCATAGATGTATGACGAATCTTCTCATGATGCTGTTTTACGTAAGTGTTGAGTGATGTGAGTTGGGAACACAGGCATCAAGCTTCTATTGAAAGTAAACTCAATCTCAGTGAATTAAAAATGAGGACCCCCCCACAATCAATATAAACTTCATGTGGCAACTCTAAACAGAAGATTGACGTCATCAGAGAGTTGCAACAACAGCAACTCTAACCAGTAGTACTAAAAAGTAGAACCGGAAGCATCAGTTGTTGGGAGAGTGAGAATCGGAAACACCTGTGCGTACGGTCCATCGTGCTCACCCCTCTGGAACAGTGACGAGAGGCGGGCACCGCGTCGTTCTGAACTGCAGCGTCGAGCATTCCATCGTTTCTTGCCGGTGCTGGGATTGTAGATAGATGCCACAAACCGTAGTTCTAGTGATTTGGAGTGCAGAGATTGCTGCAGAATATATACATTTTTTTTTTTTTCACTTGTGAATTAGCTGCCATGAAGTTGCATTTGCTAGAGTAATGGTGATGTAGGACCTGCAGTGCCGTGATGCTTCTGAGGGGTTCGGGTTGTCATGGTTGAGTAACTGAATTCTGCAATTTTTGGAGGGTTTTTTGAAGTGGAGATTGGAATGTTGGTTTTCGAGAGGTGAGGGCACGTCGCACGGGGAATTTGTATTACTGTTAGGTTTTTTTGGTTAAATTCGGTTTGTGGGCTTGGCGAATTTTTTCGGGGAGATGAAGGGGAAGGGGGGGGAGGGAGGGAGGGTGACGTGGATGATTCGGTGGTAATGGGGCTGCCGATGGGGCGGAAACTGCGAGTGACATGTACGGAGAGCAACATATTTGACCAAATTCCGGAGGATGGGGTGTTAGTGAGGTCGAGTAGTATGCCGAGAGGGTGTCATAGTTCAATGCATTCTTGTAAGTCTATTTCACCAAAAAATAATTCATGGAAGAATAGTTTTGAGGATGCGCACATAGGTAGAAGTTTGAAAAATTCCTTTAGTTTAGGATTTTTGTTTCCAGATGAAGGGGATGGCAGCAGCGATGAACTTCGCCAGGCCTTGCTCACGGACAGCGAAGAAAGTGACGATCCAGGAGTGTCTCCTCTTGAAAATGCGAAGAAGAATTTTCGCAAGAGCCACGGTACATGGGGGAACCATGTGGTTAATGTGGATCTCGTACGAGGCACCTCTATCGATTTAGCAGCATGTGAGGATGCAGCGTCTAGAATTCACAGGTGCCAGACAGCGCCGGCTATGTCGAGCATGAACCGAGAGCGGAAAGCCGCCGCTCTGAAGCGTCCAGAGTTCACTAAGGGCTCTGCAATTGTAAAACAAGCTGGAATTGGCCTCATAATATATCTCGCTTTGGGGGTTACAATATACGCATGGAAAAACGATGAATTCTCCGGCATTGAGTCGTTCTCAGTGGTGGACGCCCTTTACTTCTGCGTTGTCACCATGTGCACGATCGGCTATGGCGACATTGTCCCTGTAACCCCGTTTGCGAAGCTCTTTTCATGTGTTTTTGTGTTGATTGGATTTGGTTTCATCGACACATTACTGAGCGGGATGGTGACTTATGTGTTGGACAAGCAAGAGCATCTTCTTTTAAGCGCTGTAGAGGGAAGCCACTACCGCACTGCCAAGAAGTATTTTTTGAACGAAAAACACGGTAACCGGATGCGCATCCGGTTGAAAGTTGCCATAGCTCTCGGTGTCCCCTTGCTGTGTATTGTCATCGGCACTGTGATGATGATGCAGTTCGAGGAGTTGGGATTGCTGGATGCTTTCTACTGCACGATCATGTCTGTCACAACTGTCGGATATGGCGACCATACATTTAAGACTTATTATGGCCGTCTATTTGCCGGCGTCTGGCTTCTCTTTAGTACCTTGGCAGTGGCGCGGTGCTTTCTTTATCTTGCGGAGGCGAGAATCGATAAGCGCCACCGGGCGATTGCTAAGTGGGTGCTGCAAAGGGAGCTCACTGTGGGAGATTTGGTGCAAGCCGATCTTGATCACGATGGGTCTATCAGGTGTGAAATCTTGGGTTGCCGAATGATTTTTTGTTGTGTTATTCTTGAATTCGCACTTCTTGAGTAAAATTTCTGGCTTTTTGCTCTTAAATCCTCTCATTGTTCAAGTGCGAATTTTCAACAGAAGTACATATACAGTATCCCTTGTCTTTTTGTATGCTTTTTGAGAATTTCATCATAAAATTCTTTGGTAACAAACCAGTAGTAATGGATGAATTGGTACGAGAATCAGCAGTTATCAGTTCATTTGTTCAGTTGAATATTTGAATGGCTCAAAATGTGCGTTCGCTCTTGTTCATTGCATCCGCCGGAGTAGTCCAGTTAGCTGATTTATTACTGTTTTAGCCTGAACGTAGAGGCCTTTTCAAGCACCTAAATTTATTCTTCAAAGTTCGCCTTTGGACAATAAACAGTTCATGCGTGGAATCTTTTTGAGTTCGAATTGACCCAGTTATGCAAGGCTCACTGAAAGTCGACAATAAAGTAAACTCAATTTACCCAAGTTCAGTGGTCACCAACGGGACTTTCGTTTCCTGCTGCTCTGGGAACTGTCTATTAAAAGCATTAAAATCCAAAGTTTTAAATCTTTGATACTGATATTTTCAGTAATGAATTCTGGTAATTCTGGAACTGTACTGAACATTTACACTAGTCTTTTGTGTGTTTTTACAGCAAAGCAGAGTATGTTGTATACAAGCTTAAGGAGATGGGGCACATCCAGTCACATGAAATTGCAGACATATGTCACCAATTCGATCAGCTTGATGTGAACAACTCCGGAAAAATTACTCTTGCTCGTCTTCAGGAAGGAAACTGACTCTTTGTACATCTTAACAACGTTTCTGCGACAAAACGCATGAGACAATGTATGGGTTTCTGATTTTTTGGAGTTTCAGAAGAAAAGCTCTCTATCTGCACCGATTTCATTTTGCACTCACACAGAAGTATTTTGACATAGAATACTTAGCTGTAGATGCCGGAAGGAACATAACATTATTTAGCAAGTGCGAGAGCGCATCTCGCATAGACAACTCAAAAGGTGAAAAACAGGTCATTCTATTGAAGTTGGCAATCCAGTTGATGACCTTGGATTTTACACCGAGTAAACCTGCCAAGATAGCATAAACCTTATACACCTGTATCTTAAGTTAACCAGTGTAGCGATATGGCTACGGTGGTTGCCAGGGAGCTGTACAATATCATGCACAAGATTGTCTTTTAAAATTCACGTCACCAAGTGTCAAGATCTAGACACACATTCAAATGACTCAGATCCCACGCTCAAATCAGGAATAGGAAATACGTTTCACTTCAAGATGCTTGGACTAGATGAACGAAAGTTTGGGACGTAAAAAGCTGACTAGTAATTTGGATGCTTAAAATCTATACCCATGCAAAGTTACATCATAAGATAACCCTTCCATCAATAAGTACTGAACTGGGACACTATTTGAGTCACCTGCAGAATTCAGTGATCCACAACAAATTACATCAGATCATACAATAAAAAGAGGAGAACTAAGGAATTGCAGAGTTAACGAGGAAGAATGTTCCTACTTGATACTAACTGAAAAGATCATACAATCTGCAAATTCTTTGACTCTAATTCCTCAAAATAATCATGAACTAATTCACAATTAAATTGCACATTCAGAATCGAGGCTCTAGAAGTCTGGGTCTTGTGAACTAATCAGATGAGAATATGAGATGAAAGTTACGTCTAAAATGTAATCTTGAATATGACTAAAAATATTGACCTATAACAAGGATTGAGCAGAAAATTCTACCTCCCAAAAATTGGTTATCCAGTAGCCAGTGCATTTTCCTTGAGTACTTTCAGTAGCGAAGGGTAGGTAGAACAAACCCAAGCCATCTATAACTACCCTCAAACCAAACTCAACGACTGTTGTAGAAGAAGTAAAGCATGCTTGATGAGCAATCGATTGTGCAGTAAAACCCAACAACTTCCAGTTAAAATCCTGCCCACCCTGCTGGCTGGTTCATTCGATTTGTTGGTGGCTCCACCTTAGCTCCATTGAAAGCAGTACCTACTGAAGGACTTCGTTCCTGTGCCATACTCCATCTTTCTCCACCAGGATTACTGGCCCTAACGTCCTGTTGTCGCACACTCCTTTCTGGTGTCTTTTCAGACGAACCAAACAAAGAGTTCGTGCTTGCCCGCATGTCATGTTGTCGCATACTTCTATCTGGAATTTTCCCAGAAGAATTAAACAAAGAATCCGTGCTTGCTCTTGGATTGCCTTGAGGTGGTCTAGTAGAATTCACTTGCTTAGGTGGATCCTCAAAAGCTGCCCATGAAGACTGCTGGTTTGCTGAATTCGTGGAGAGTCCTTCCTGAAGGTCCCAAATTGTTCCACCCTGTGTCTCCACTCCCTGTGCGTAACTCCAGGTATACAAGTCAGAAATAAGACATGTATCAAGAACTATCAACAATGAAACTGCGAGAGTGTGGTATCTTCTACAAAAATACGCCATTCTCGACGAACATAATCAATTTTAGAAATACGCAGCGGAAGAAATGGAGTGTATTCAGAGAACTAAAACCAGTAAAAGGCGTATTTACACTCCAACTTGAAGTCAAAAGATTGCTGGATTGAACTAGATAAGTTTCTATTTTCGAATTCATATAATCCTGTTGGACGCGTCAAATACATTACTTATTCTAGTTAAAATTGCAGGTACCCAGACTTCGGTTTGAACAGCGTTGCAGATTACTTGATTATAATGATATCTACATGATATATTGAGTATCTAAAACGTACAAATGTCACCACTAAGATTGAGAGAAATTATTTGATGAACAAATAATTGAGAAAAGCCACTAACCTGTTCAAAAGCTTGCAATTTCTTAGCACGCGAAGAAGAGCTATGCTGCTGCGTAGGGGAGGTGTTTTTTCCTGCACCCGAGCCAAGCTGAGATTTCAAGTCTTGAATTTCTTGTCTTTGAGAACGACAGATTACTGTCAACTTCTCAAATTTTGATGCTATAACTGATTTTTCCTCAAGGGCCTGCTTCAGAGCTGCATTTAACCTGTCAACTTCATCTTTCAACTGCTCTTGCGATCTTGAATGCAGAGCTGACTGAGTATACTCTACTTCGAACGCTGCAAAAGACGAGTCATCTGTTGAAGCTCTTTCCTCTGATACTCCATGTTTCTGTCTTGACGTTGAGGAGCTTCTTCCTGATTCCTCTTCGCTCTGCCAACCAGAGCCCTGCTCAACCTCACCATTACCGAAGTCCCTGTACCTAGTATTCTGTGCTAACCCTTGAGTTTGCCGTGCCATTCCAACCCCGCCAGTCCTCACTGGGGGTGAATTGGCAACCTTCGGAGGACTAGTGTTCAAATACCTAGAGGGCACTGGTGGACTGGTAGACTTGAGTGGAAGCGAGGACTTACTATTGGTACCCTTCTCTTGTCTTGAGTTTGAATCAGCTGGTATTGCAGCTTCGGCATATTGAGTGGACCAGAAGGCACCCTTGGCAGAGTTATTGCTCGTACCTACGGGTTCCACTGAATGTTTCTCTGCTTCTTTAGGTGGAGTGCGAGAGGCCACAGATGAAGTCGAGCTAGAAGCCTTTGCTCCCTCCATGGAACCGCCTATAAGAAGTACAAGCACCAATTGAGAAGTAAAAATTTGGAAATCGAAACCATAGTATGATTGTATCAATTCCAGTGTTCACAAAGGACTACGAAGACATGCACCCTGCTCTGACTTGATCGATGTGACTCTCTATGAGTAAAAGATATCATTAGACTGAAGGTTTTACAAATTACAGATACATCCAGGAAAATGACTTTGTCACAAAGATAGAAATTGCAAGGTCCAGCATGGTCAATGGGATCAGTTAATGAGCTACCAGTATGATGGTGCTTCTGTGAAGCAGTCAGTGGCTTGTTATGCACTGGAGCCTTGTCTGGGTGACTTCTACGACAATCAGGGGGAAGAGCTTCATTTACGCGCTGCCAGACCTGTCCCCCAAACCAGCGATCAGGTCGCAAGCAAAAATTCATTCTTCAACAAGTCTAGTCCTACGTTCAGAATCTTCAGAAGCGAAGCCCCCATATCTTGCTGCCACAAAAACTAACCTAGTCATGTAGAAGAATAGGCCCAGTCCAGCAAAGCCCTTGCCTGCATGACACTCGGCCTGGCCTCCGGAGACACATTAAGCATGTCTTTGATCAACCCCGTGATTGCAGAAGAGTATCTTGGCGACTCCGGTATACGGTAGTTGCAATTCAGAATTTGTAATTTCGACTCACCATCGAATGCGGATTTAAGATAAGCAATCCTGTATAAGAGACAACCGAGTGCCTGAATCACTCAAGTACCAACAATTAGTCCATACAACTCACAGCCTCACTAGAGTAAATGATGAAATCACTGTAGCCTACTGAAATCCAAACTTTCGCAAAACTCTTACCCAAACGTCGACCTTCTCGCTGATTAACTCCTTCTGATAAAGGTCCCACATCTGACAACCAATAGCCAGTTAGGCTCTGAAGTGTGTAACATTCATTGATCTTGAGTTAAGATCCGAAGATCATTACCAAGAGAAAAATATCATTTGCACACTAACCTCTGGTGCCCGATAAGAAGGTGTTGTAAACTTCCTAATGCAATCTTCTTCCAATCCCATTTCTTCTGGAGAATCGAAGTGCTTATGATTGGTAGAATTGCTTCCAAAGTCACACACCTTCCACGCGCCGTCTGACCCTAGGAGCACGTTCTCCACTTTTAAGTCCCTGCGCAAAACGCTTATCATTGTTGCTGGCAACTTTTCTGAAAGGGAGCGGATGAAGATTGTAAACAATTAGATTTTTAAAATATGAAATTGAGACTTCTTGTTAAGAAGCGGCTCCTTATAAAATTGGAGATTCAAATGGTCCCACGTAGAGGAAACTATCCCAGGATTCCAAGCAGATTCGAAAAATGTAATGGAATGCAGGAACGCATCAGAAAAGCTTTTTTGCCTAGAGCCCAATAAGATGTAGAAGAGTAGCAAGAAGGATGTTTTCGGTTATTAGAATGATGAACAAGCTGGATCAAGGAGAGGCTACAATCGAAAACCAAAAACAATTACAACCTTGCAAAGACACTCTACTAGGAACATTTCTCAATCACGAGCACGCAATCGAACAACAGAAGGGGCGATCTCAAACCTGTGGGCAATTGGAGGGGATTGACTATGCATGGCGTAGACAGCATTGCAGATGTCGAGGAAGATAACAAGAATTTGCTTCTCGTCGTAATAGCCCGCTCCCCGATTCTCCAACACATGCGCCAACATCTTGTGGCAATACTCCATCACAAGGAAGCATTCCTTCGTCCGCCCACAATCATACACCACCTGTCCATGCAACGTTACCACGTTCGGGTGGCCCCGCAGAGCCTTCATCACCGCGACCTCCTTCTTCACCAGTTCCACCGACTCCACGTCATTGCAAATGATGTGCTTCAATGCGTACGTCTTCCCGGTGGACGATTCTTTCGCTAAGTACACACTCGAGAATCCGCCCTGCGCAATAACGCTTCTAACTTGCAACTTCAAATCCCCAACGTCCACATGCTTTCCTTCCAATGTCCCCCCGGCTTCCTTGTTGGGCATGAACTGCTTCAAGCGCCACATCTTTCAATCTCCGATCAATCAAACCCCTGCTCCCCTACTTCTCTCCTCCCCGAACCCTCGATCTGAAATCACCACATCTACCTCCTCGTGAGCCGATCTCTAAAACCCAACACAAAACAAGAAATCCGATGAGTAAGAAAAACGCAGTCAACTACAACAAGTAGATCCAGCGACACTCCGTGGCTTGGGCGAGGGTATGAAACCTAGCGAGACAAAAGGGGCACAGCGAGGACAGAGGAGAGGCAGTAGGTCGGGGACACTGAGCAAGCGACCAGTCTTTACGAAGAACACTGACGAATACGAAAGATCGCATTCATTGTGTTTTCCTAACGATTAACCAGGCTGATGTCCAGCTCTGTTCGAGTCTCACGCGGCAAAGGTCATTTGTCGTTTCTTTACCGAGATCGCTACAACAAGAGAATAAGAATTCATCTACTTCTTCAGGAAATCGACGTGTTCCTAGCGGCAGGATTGGGATGGGGCTGTTAGGGTACAACCACGTGCTCCTCGGTATGGATTGTCTTCTCCCATCAGGACCAGCCTAGGGTGGTCTCGGCGTCCCGGTGCGGCATGTTGCGGCTTTCGAAATGTACGGGGGCGTCACACGAGTTGAATACAGCGGGGTAAACCCTTTAGGTGTTACGAATAACGAGGGTTGATAGCTGGCCACGACCCAGTCCTCCGAAAGATACAAAATCTTGGCTGCACAGGTTGAAATTAATTCTCCGGTGAAATCTTTGTCCAAAAAGTAGGTCCCAGTGCAAATGCACTGTGCCACATGGGCAAAAGTTGTTCAGAACTCAGCAACATAGGTGCATCATGCTGCCCAAATCCAAATCATACATATTGGGGTTGTTAGACGCCTCAATCCTTGTCTGTGCACTACTGTGCCATGTATTTCATCCTGGACGTTTTCCCGTATTTTCCTACTTGAGTGACGCCCCTGATATTAAGTGGGTCCCGGAAAGAGAGAGTCTCAAGAAATAGTGTCAATGGCCGAAAGTTTTAAAATTCCACGCAGGCCCCCGATCCCTCGCCTGCTGTGTTTGCTGACTCTCGTCCTGCTATCCATCGTCTCCATGTTCTCTTGCTTCATGCAAATTTTCAGCAAATACCACAGCAGCATTGCCGTGGCGAGTCATCAGCATGTGAGAAGTGAGTCACCTGGGAGGTGGGAAAATTATGAGTCTGACGCGGAGGGCGTAGACCTCGTTGCAGCTCATGGGCAGGTGATGGTTGATTTTAAGAAGAGTCATGATTTGTTACGGAGTTTGTGAGGCTGTGGGCGAGAAAGATTTTTTTACGGATTCTTGTGTGATGTTCAGGGTTTGAATTTTCATCATGGCAAAGTTTGGAGCCATGAGCAATCTTTGCGCCAGCTGCTTCCGTCTGCAGCTCCTGGAGTTGCTTATCATGGTAGTTAAAGCTTTGTATGTAGGAATAATAACTTGCAAGCAGCTTTTTAGGTTCGAGGTCCGGTTTGTGTGTCTGGAATTTTACAAGAATTGTCCGAGATTGTCCGAAATGGTGGATCATTATCAGTGCGTGTTGCGCGCCACCAGGTGTTTTTCTGGCTTCATTCCGAGTTATATCACCTTTCGCGACGTTGATTCAAGAACTTACACCAGTCCAGCTGAGAATTTCTTGTATCGAATGAATTTCCTGCTGGATAGTGTTAAGTCAAAAACGTGTATGACTTTGGTGTGTAGGATTAGTGCCCTCTGTGGCCAGCTCGAGGAAAGTCCTTCTAATACGACAGGGGTGTACTTGCAGCACCAATTTTTCCTGGAAGTGGCTTTCTTTTTGCCACAATCATAGGTGAATTACACGAAATACATTCTGCTGTGAGTCACTCACTAACTTTTCTCAAATCCCCGGTTTTTTATAATTGCGATTAGCTTTCTTTTTCACCTTTGTGGAACTACTACTGTGGCTGACGTATGGATCTTTGCGCAGGTATGTGATTTTGTGCTGATAGCCAGACTCCTGAATGCAACAATTGTCTTACCCAAGATTCAAAGCATCCCAGCTGTCAAAGGTGGCAAGTAAGTTGATTGCTCAGGGTTTATGCAGGATTTAAATGACATAATTCCGTTGAGTTGAAGTTTATCTTTGATTTAGATCCTTGTTTGACGCTGATATCATCAGTGTTCCCACTATTCATAGGTGCGGTTTTGGGTGGGTGTCTCGAGGTCGCCAGCTCGAAGGTGAAAAGCTTCGGCTACCTTTACGATGAACAACATTTCATCACTGCAGTAAAGGATGATGTGCGAGTAGTGAAGCTTTTACCGAATTCGTTTCGTACAAGAGCCAGTTTGCAGAAGCTGCCTGTGAAGACGCCAACCAGATTTTCTTCTGTTCAATTTTATCTGGATGAGGTTTTACCAGCTTTGTCAGCACATGGAGCTTGTGGACTTGTATTTGCAAAGGGAGGTGGTTTGCAGGTGTGCTCAGTTAGTCCCAGCATTGCTGTATTTTCTGCGCTGGTGCCTTGCACTGCTGGGGATTGCAAATTTCAGCAAATTGCAAGACTCAACGCTTCTTAATAATCAAGAGTGGTCCTCGAGTATATTTTCATGCGTGGAATCTTTCTGATTTGAACAGGAGATCCTTCCAACAGAACTCGTTGAATATCAACGATTACGCTGCAGAGTGGCATTTCATGCTCTTCGTTTCCGTGAAGAAATCCGTGGTTTGGGCGCTCAGTTAGTAAGAAGGTACACTGGTGATTTACATTTGCTCTGATGATCATGCCGACATGTGTGGCTCTGTGAATTTTGAGGTGGTATATGCCTTGATTACAGACTACTTCGTATGACTTCAACATTTGTATGGACAGATTGGAGGCACATGGGCGTCCTTATGTGGTGGTCCACTTCGGTTTGGAAAGGGATGTTCTCGCATACCACGGCTGTGCTGAGCTCTTTCAAGTGTGCCCTGCTATTTTTCTTGATTACACGTTGCAATCAGTTATCAGGATGCTTCACGATTGAACTCATTTGTGATCAGTAGTTCTTTACATTGATGACCTCTTTAATTTATTCAAGTTTTTGACCAGTAAAAGAATTTCTATTTGTAGTATATCTGAATTGCATTAGGCAGATATAGGATGGCAGACTTGAATCTAATCTGTGAGCTTCCATTTACCTTCAAAAGTGTAGTGCTTCAAATTGGATCGTAATCCTGGGAGTGATACTACAAGGTTAACCATAATGAAAAAATAAAATGTGTAATATATATATATATATATATATATATATATATATTTGACACACTGGCAAAATTGGGACTCATTTTTGGACGGGTGATGTCTCAGGATCTACAGACAGAAAGCATACAGTATCAGAGGAAAAAAATGTTGATTTCCGCGGAAATCGATGGTGAGCTCCGAATCGATTCTCACAAGCAGCGTCACCGGGGGCTTTGTCCTCTCATGCCGTCGGAGGTGCGTTTTATGTTATAGATGGACCGTGTATGTCGAGGGTTGCCATATAATTGGGGAAGACTTCAATCATTCTGCGGTTATTGACTTCAAACATTGACTTGGCTGTGGCTGCAGGTGGGGCTTCTGTTAGAAGCCTTTGGTTTTCGCAATGATACTCAACTTTATATGGCAGGTACCGAAATAACAGGCGGTCAGCGGGTTGTGCTACCTCTGAGAAGTATGTATCCCAGTTTGGATGATCGTTTCACGCTGACTACAGACCAAGAACGCTTTGCATTATATGCAGTTGATCAACAAAGAACCCCCGATACTTCGGAACCGGGCTCTGTTTACTCCAATGCCTGGAAGAAATTGTTCGTTTGGGGAAAGAATCGGCCATCTGGGTACTCCTATCCTTCTCAGAAAGGTTGGTGGAGGTCGGTTGGCGAGTGTGAATATGGTACAGAAAAGTATTTCGCATCGACCCCTGTGGAAGGAGAAACGAATGACATTCAGCTTCTACATGCAGCTCTCGACTATATTGTATCCCTAGATGCCAATACCTACTTCCCTGCATTTGATAAGGACCGACAGGGGCTTCCAAACATGGCCAGCTTGATCATGGGCCACCGTCTCTATCAGTCAGCATCTTTGAAAACCTTTCGTCCCAACAGGTACTTCTCTCTGCTGCACTTGCTTTACTGATAGCAAGTTGTGCATCTACTAACATAATCTTGACGCTTTTTGTTGTTATGTTTTCAAATGCGGTATCAGTAGTGAGTGTAGCTTAACCTTTTGGAGAATCACATACCCTTTTAGGGCATCTACGAGGGTTCAGCTTTTGAAACCATATGAAATATGAAACTCATTGTACTGCAATCTGGGCTATCAACTACGTTGCAGGTCAGTCCTTTCGGCCCTTCTGGACCAGTATCCACACGATCATTCTCAAGAGTGGAATTCTTGGACTCGTGCTATGCGGGAAGTTCTGGTAGATGCCCTTAGACCTGAAGCTATTGTGCATCTCGCACATACTGCGAAATCGGAATTATTCTTAGCTCACCCTTTTCCAGAATGTTTTTGTCGAATTGGTCAGCTGATACGAGCCAACGATTTTCGAGACCTCAGTGAAGACGGTGAATTGTTTTGGGGACGTGTACGTATGTGCCCCGCTAGGACGCCTAGTGAACATTGATCAAAAGAGCACAATTATCTTGGAAAGAATTGCCATGACATATTGTAAATGAAAATAGTACTAAAACCAATCAATACTTTGAGAGAAATTAGAGCAATAAATGGACAACCCGATTCATTCAGTAGCAAACAAGCTAAATATAATTTCATTCAAGAATTTTAGTCAAAAATAGAGCAAGCTGTACAAAGTTCCAAGTATGGCCGGCTTCAAGAAACAGAACAACGTGCCAATCTCCAGATATACAAAGTGACTCGGCCATTCTTCAATGATCTGTCAAGACGCCCAATTCCCAAGCACAACGCATCACATGCAGAAATCTTGCGCCACTGTCTGATGAAAGAAACAACTGGCCAGCTTATCCCTTTACCACAACGACAGTGCAAATAGGTGCAAGATAACCAATGTCCGTCCACACATATCTTATACAGCAGGAAGGGATTTGGCACATTCTGCACCGCTGAGACGTAGGTCTAGACTTTCTCGACACCCTCCCTTTCCTTATCACCTAGTTTTCCTAATGTATTATATAACAAAAAAATCCGAGCAGTAGATCCCGGTGTTGAATACACCCAGACTAATGAAGGACTTAAACTAACTGAGGCGGATTCCCATAGATCAAATTATCCGACTAGCTACAGAGAACAACTATCCTCGTACTCCAGATTATGGCAGGGTAGAGTCAGCCAGGAGATCAGAAGTGTCGACAGAGAGCTGCGAGGTCTAGTCAAGGAGATTAACTAGAGGGATGCTAAAGCTATTAGAAAGTTGATAATATTAAGAACGGGGATACTGGCAGATGATACACACAGTGGAGGAAGTGGCTGTGGTATTAGCATATGTGCAATGCTCACAAGACCAGTGGGTCGCCTCCTCCCAACTTCGGCTGGATCCCCCGCTTCTGGAGCTTCCACCTTTGGCCCTTCCGCCTCGCGATTTAGAGCTACCGGAAGCTTTAGAGCTGCTGCTGGACTTGGCCGCCCCTTTCAGATTGTCAACATCCGAAAGATTATTCTCTAACGCGCGAACCAGGTTCTCGAAGTATGTCCTCGTCACACTGGAAAAATTAAATTAAATTAAATTAAATGACAATAAGCCAATTATGTCTCCTGTTAAGGATATAGATTTAGGCGTAGAAACCTGAATGAACTATTCTAGTCTGTTGAAAACTTTTGGCTTGTAAAGGACCAATCATCGATAACAAATGTAAGCACCTGGTCAAGCCGGCGAGTTTGGTGCGGAAATCATTGAATGAGCTGGTGGGATTGTCTCCTTCAAGGAATGTCTGCAAGTCCTTCTCGGCACACTGATGGAGGCGCTCTAAACCAGCTTCTGCCTCACCTTGAGAATATTCAAAGAACTGCCTCTTCGTATGCTCGTTCTCAGGTAAGTAATACCCATAAGCATATGTCCATTTCAATACGCGTCGGCACTCTACAATCTGCACAAGGCATCAACATTTCTAATGACTCAATGGAAACCTACCAGGTAACATTGCTATCATATGATTCTTCACAAAAGCTGCGTCGATCATATCCAAGTACGAGGAGAAACTGTAGTACCTGCAGCCAAGCATCTGTCACAAACTTCAGCTGCGACACAGGTTGACATTGTTTGTCACTTAACTTTTCAATCTGCACAGGCTGCATTTGTTGAAGGTCCGCAAGCGCCTTCGCCCTAGACTGAAAAACAAAGGAGATTTCAAAAGTCAAGAAAACACAAACGCAGATCACGTCTTTAAATTGAGAGAGAGTTAAGATCCTAAACAATAGGTGCAATCCCATGGCGAACTGAGGAAAACCTAATTCAGATGGGAAAATGTGCAGATTCTGCACCACTTACAGATTCGTTTGTAGCCCAACGTTCATAGTAATGTGTATAGCGTTCAAGCGAGTTCTTAGCCATTTCCCTTCTCCGCTCTGCTTCATCATACTGCAAACTCAAACTAAGTAAACGTCACTCTCTGGATTGTAACTAGGAAAACAGACCCAAAAGATAAATCTCGTCGCTTGAATTTCAAGTGCCAGCCTCTAACTTGTTAAGTCAATCCCAACCTACGTTTTCGTTGACCTATGAGAGAACTTGGATAGACAAATTCAAAGTTGCTCAAATCCCAGGTTCCTACACAAAACGACAAATTACTGTCTAGATTCTGATACTTTCTTATTATCTTAATGTTTCAGTTCTTACATGAAACTGATTCATTAACGTTCTCCCAAAATAGTCCAAAAGGACCCAAAGAAATGTCGTCCAGGTATAGCATAAGGGCATGTCCACCTACCACGCCTTCTTGTTTCGCAGTTTCGTAACGGTTGCATGCATAGAAACCTCCGGTCCTTTCCCCGTGATCAGTCCATGCTCCAAGACAAAGCCTGTTATAGTATCAGTGAACTCTTGTAAGTGACACTATTTCCAAACCAGACACTCAAAGCGTTAAAATACAATAGCATGGACTGCCGCAGCTGCACTGATGAGCTTAATGAGCAAGACCGAATTTCATTCGTTAACAAGCTTAACTTCAATAAGGGAAAATAAAAAACTATTTTTTTAAAATTACATTAAATTGTTTACCAGCAAAACTCATGTTTGCAAGGTGGAGTGCAAGTGATATGCATGCAGCCTTGGTTTTTCTCAATTGGCCTCTTACACTTGGGGCAAGGTTTGCTGTTTGCAAGAATCCTGCTCAAAGAAAAAGGAGATAACACTAATGCGTTAAATATAAAGGCAAGGAACTTCATCACATTGTCCTAAATCTATGACTTAAGAGTTGGTTTGGTCCATCGACTCAAAGCTCTAGGCAACTGAGAAAGAAATTTGTATCTAAAGTCAGGGAGACGTAATTGCAATATACGCGCAAACTAAGGAATTCCTGAAAAATATAATAAACCACAGGTCGGAAAGCATAAATATGTTCAATACACACCAATTCATGTTCTCTGATTCTGCGCAATTCTTCAATATCCACTTGTTGACGGTTTCACAATCCACAGGCCGATGTGCTTCCTCCCGACACTGGAACAAGAAAAATCACAATGAGTTATATGTAAACGTGTGGAATTCGTGTGCTGCATTTAATAAATTAAAAGCAGATGCGAAGAAAGAAAAAGAAAGACGAAGACGAAGACGAAGAGGAAGAAGAAGAATCAAACACGTACATTCCAGCAGAAATTAAGCCCACACTTGCAAACGAGGTCATAAGAACCAACCCCAGGTTGATATTCCACTGCATATTCACATCCAGGTGCTGGGCACCACTTCACCTGCTAAACGACACACTTCCATATGAGGCTTCCGTTCAAAAACTCATCTAGTGTGAATTAAGCAAAAACTTGCAACACAAATATACTGCAGCGGCGGAACTTTTCTGCATATAAGAAACAAGGCTTAAAGGACATGACGTAAAGGTGTTTAAGTCGTTATATCACGCAAATGATCATCTGGGAAAAGATTACATCAAACAAACATGTTTCAAAACTACACGGTATCACCATTGCATAACCTCTTTGTCGAAATACACAAATCCAAGTACTACAGACTCATGCACGTAGAAGATGAGATATAAAATGAGGCAGAAAATTTACCTTTCGATTGTCCTCAACGTAAGACCTTAAAAGATACCGCGTGTACTTTTGTTGATCCTCGTTAGAAACTAAACCCAACACCATGTCTTCACCAACGGCTGCGCCACAAGATGGATCCGCACACCGCAAAGTCAAACATCCTGGTCCGTCATTAATTGCAGTGTGTATGTAACCTGAACACAATCCGATGAGAAATCACCATCCTATATCAGATTAAAGCGCTCCACAGCAACCAAAACCATCAAACCCCTCCGATTCCTTCAATAAAAGTTCAAGGTTGGCAGAAAAAAACTAAAAAACAGCACAACTATGTACAAACGATATTGCAAGCTAACACTATATGAGTAACGAACTCATGAACACAAATAACGTGGGATACTAAACAAGAAACTTCTCTTTCTCACTGCTAAATTCACAGTAAGTATAGACCGTAACTCTAGCAGCACACACGAGAACCTACCCTGCAAAAGAACAACTAGACTATCCACCATTTTTGCACAGATGTTCTATGCCTAAATGCTACTATATAATGGCGCGACAATACCTGACCTGTCCAGCAGGTCTCACAAAAATAGTGACCGCATCTAGGTGCCGTCATCTTCTCAAAAGGATGACCCTCAAAACATATCCCACACGTCATCTGCCAAATACATCAAATCCCAACCAGGCATTTTCTAAACATTAGGGAAAATCACAAAGAGACTGAGTTTCGCATTGGGTCTATTCTATTTATTGAAAACAAGTACCTATGGGGAACAAAAAATGCCACTATACAAAATATCTTGTCAAAGGTACGCACATTTAAACCAGATCAATTACTGAACCGATTCAATTGTGCACCCATAATTAATTAACATTTCAATGAAGCAGGCAGAGAAGGGGTGGAAGAGATTTTAGAAAAATGCAGAGGATGGCAGACGAACTACACGGTAACTATCCAGTAATACCTCTTTATCAATTTTCCTTTTGCTAGTCGCCGGCTTTTCCAGCAAACCAACGTTGGCGCGAACGCGTTCCTCGTCGGCGAACCACTCATCGTTGACTTTACTAATACTCCTGCTCATAACAAGTGTCACATTGCAACACGACTTCGTCACTTTTTAACGATTGCAAAATAAGGAGATCTACTACCACACCCAGTGCAATACATACACAAATCGTGTTCAGATTTACATCTAACGTGTTGCCGATGTTGCACATAGGAGAACCAAGAGAGCAACTCAAGGTGGTTTCCGACTGTACAGACAACCAAATTAGGTCATTGATTCAACTTTAGTATCAATGTCTCAATCTACCACGTATCAAAAACGAGAAAAAAGAACAAGCATTACCACTTGAAATACCGAAGCAGCACCCCGGCATCCACAGGTGATATGGACAAAAAGTTGGTGATAGTTGCTATAGCCTCAGCTTGGCGATGTCGTATATCTTTCTCACTAAGCACGGTGAAATTAGTCTGCAATAAAACGTCAAAACGATAAATTTCAGATCTATTCTGAATTCTCCACATTTGCTCTGGTATGAATCTGATGGGTTTGAATACCCTTCATTTCTCCCACAGACATTCAGAACAAGAAGGAACCACAACGAAGCGCCTTTGGTTGATCATTCATCGAATCCATAACTCGATGAACGCATGTGCGTCCGCTAAGGTTGACTAAGAGATCAGAAGCAGAACAATTCTGAGTACTTCATCTTCCATTGTCATGACAATAGCCCTCTTCACTGCAAAAACTTCATTCCAAAACCTGCCAATGTAAAACCCAGAAGTAGAATAGAATTCGACGAATACCTGGGGAAGCCGGGAACTAGGCTGAATATCATCAATATTAGAATAATCAAAACCATAATCTGATCCGTCATTTTCGTCGTCACTGGCTAAAGCGTCTAATTCCTCCTCCTCCTCTTTATTTTGAAACTCGCCATCTGATGTTCCAGCCCAGGCGTCCAGCATTTCGTCTTCAGACTCCATATTTCTCAATTCAATGGAAGAAGCAGCTAATGGAACACTACAAGAATAATCAGTGATGCAAGATAATCAGTGTTTTCAAACCCTGGCAAGACAATCAGTGCTTTCACATCCTGGCCGGCAGGTGGGGGATGCAGAAAGAGATGCCCAGAAAAGAGTAAAACAACCACAGCAGAGTGGATTGGAGAATCCTGCCTTGTGACTGTTTTGCATAGCCTTTTTGGCAATTACCAGTGACAGCCACAAAGGGACAATTTGTCTACAACTCAGCAGAAATCTATCAATTCCAGAGATGTTTCACCACAAGAGTGCAACTCTCCAAAAACAAACAAACCCTAAGAACCCCAGATGTGCTTTCATCAGCATGCCCTATGGAAATTGCACAAAGAAAGCTCCGCCCTGAACTGGATCAATGCACAATTTCCCACAAGCTTACTCCCCAACCACCTCAAGCTATCCCACAACTCCATCACCCCATTCCCGACAAACCCACAAAATTACCCCACCACTGACAAGAAGCAAAGCACATACACACCCACGCCACGATATGACACCTCCATAATCTAACACACAAAAAACCAAGAACCCAACATCAAATCTGCACCATGTACCAAACCTCGCGAACCAAGACAATGGTAATCACCAACCCCTCATCATCCCATACCTCTTCTGCTCTTCACTTCTTCCACATTCATGCTGCCATCACCAGGTTGGACTGCAAGCCAACGCCTATACAATCACTCCACAAAAAAAAAATAAAGGCAAAAACCAAAACAGAAAGGGAAAAAAATCCTCAATCCCCTCCCTCTCCCCTCCTAAGCCTCTCGACACTAATCACTGCTTGCTAATCATCAAATCATGGACCACGACACACAGCCGACCATCGACCTATCCCTCGTGCACGCAGCTAAGTGCAGGATTTGACATGGCAGGCCAAGGGCAAAGAAGAAGAAGAAGAAGAAGAATTGGCTGTTGACCAAGCCCTCCAGGAGGAAGACAGGAATGGAATGCAGGACACTTGGGCTTTGACCATCTCAGCATACAGCGGATTACACAGAGAGAGTGAAAGGCCTCCCAGTCGGGGTGGGAATAGAACAAACAAAGGTGCAGACCAACTGGCTGGCTGGCTAGTGACGAAGAAGGGAAGTAGAAGGGGAGAGAAACCAAATGGGGCAGTGAAGAAGAAGATCCATGGAGCCAGGCTGCAAAGAGAGCAAGTGAAGGGAAAAGGGAAAAGGGAATGGAAGCATGGAATGGGAGATGAAATGAAGTGGAATAGAATGGAATGGAATGAAAGAGAGACTCCCTCACTCACACTCACTCACTCACTCGCACACAGACAGACAATACACACACAAACACACATACACACAAGCACACAGTCTGAATGGCTGGTGGACGGAACTTGGGAGGGGAAAAAAAAAAAAAAAAAAAAAAAAAAAAACAACAACAACAACAACACGGGGCCAAACCCAGCCTGCCAGCCAGCCAGCCAAGATTGGTGGGTCCTCCTGGAGTCGTGTCGCAATAACCTATTTATTCAATCGACCGGCTCGAGACATCTCGGCCGTCACATTTCTAGATTGAATCGTAGCCGTTACAGGATTTATTGGGAACGGAGGGGGGGGGGATGGGAGGGAACCAGTGGGGCGGGCAGGTTGGAGGGCGGGCAGGTTGGGAACTCAGAACCCGTTACACATTAGGCCCGCAGTGGTCCATATTCACATGGGTGCTGATGTTTGTTCAGAGGATGCTTCTCAATCCCAATTTTCAACTATCACTCATGCTTCAAAAAACATTTTTTTGTTGCCATAAACAACGGCACTCATACATGTACATGATACTTTTGTATCCACGAAGAATTTTTGCAACTTAGAAAATTTTATTCATTGATTTTTTCTCAAATATGTATATTTTATAATTAAAGATTCATCATTGATCATTTTCTTTGTACAAGAAAATAAATATAGATCGGAAAAAAATTTTAAGAAAAAATTTAAAATATTGTATAAAATATTGTATAATCGTATTATTATATTTTAATAAAATATTTTAAAAATTCATTTACTTAAGTTTTTCTTCAAAATATTACTTAGGAATAAGATATTATATAGGTTTATTTTATATAGTAGGGCTTTGAGCCTAAACAGTTGATTTCTTTGATTATAGTTGGCATCAATAGTGTTTGCCATTATCTTTCATGGATTCCAATTAAGAATTATGGCACTAGCAACTGCAAGTTCATTCAAGGCTACAAGTCTTTAATGAAGCTAATTATTGTATAAACAAAGATTGTTACATACAACACATTAAGTTTTACAAACCAAGTACAAAGTATGTAATCTAAATCATATACAAATACACACCCAACATACTCTTAAGTGCCCTCCCTTAGTTGATTAAGAGCCTCTCTAGTCAACTAGGGCTATAAAACACACATCATTGAAGATGAACACCACAATGATATTGTTGCCAAAATATACTCCTCCAAATTAGTATTGTAGCAACTAAACCATTGAAGTGTGTGACAAACATTATAGAAAAAATCTTCAATCCTTATCAATAAATGAGGCATGGCTAAAAGTCTTCTTACAATAACAATTAATCTAATCACTTAAACGGAGAGTCAAAAGAGGTGGTATTAAACATGTCATATGTCACCCACGTTGGCATTGATCACACAAAAACATGATAGTAGCTACTTTCTTCTCACCACATACTAATTCGAATTCGATATTGACACAATTCGATATTTGCTAATTTACAATATTGTTAAGGACATGAATCTTGAAGAAAGAAAATCCTCAATACACTCTTGTGTCACTGAAAGAAAGTAGAAAGTTACTTAAAGATGATATAATATTAAACTACAATGGCTATTGCCAAAAACAAAAAGACTATAAAGTCTTCAAATAAGACTAAGGACTAAAAAGGTGTAGACATAGTACTTCCATGATTCATGTTAGAAATACATGAGATTTCTACTCTTAAAGTGTTGATAAGCTTATGAAGAATTGCAATAGTTGCAAATTTATTTTCAAGGATTATCACACTTCTATTATTTATTTTTTTTGAAGATTACAGACTATCTATTTTTAAATAAAAAATCTTATTTTTTAACACCAAACTTTTCTTTAAAGAGAGTGAATTATCATTCTTTATAAAAACTATCATTTGATATTAGCGATTATAGATTATATTCTTCTAATTTATTTTTTTGAATTTATTTGAGTTGTCTATACAAAGAAAGATTATGGATGCTACTTTCAACAAAAGTAAGAATAGATTTGTAACTATTGCAGATCTTTATGAGCTTGTCAATACTTTAAGAGTAGAAATCTCACATATTTCTAATATGAATTATAGAGATATTATGTCTACACCTATGAAAGAAGTTTAGAATTTACAACAAGAAATTGTATAATTGAAGGAAGCAAGTAAATTGACCTCACAAACAAATTTAGGAAGTTTTGTTTCTATAAGTATGAGGGGGATATAGATTAATATGCTTAAGAAGTTTAATGGAATAAGATCAAAATTTCAAAGATTTCTACAACAAGTCAAGCTCTATCTAAGGTTGTATTCCTTCCAATATCTCAATGGATTTACTCATGTCAGATTCATAAGCACACTTCTATCTAAAAGTATTCTATCTTAATTTGCACCTTTAATGGAAAAAGATTTGTAAATCTTTTATAATTTGAATTCATTTCTAGAAGTGTTTACATCTACATTTGGAGAAAATGATTAAGAAAGAGTAGCAAAGATCAAGCACTTATCTTTGCAGTAAGGATCATGGTCAACTACCATGTATATTATTAAATTCCAAAATCTCGCTTGAAATGTGAAGAAAAGTGACAAAGCCGTTATCAATCAATTTTAATATGGATTGAAAGATAACCTTAAAAATTTATTATTGACAATACAAAAGATAAAATCTTTAGGATAATGTAATACTCAAGCCATTATATGCAACAATCGATTATTTAAAAGATATTAAGAATAAAGACTTGGCTAGAGAAGAATAAATCAAATAATGATGACACCTCCCAAGTTTTTAGAAACACATTCATTAAGGCCGGAATCAATGCAAATTGATATAATACCTTTTAAATTTTTTACGGAGTAAGAAAAGACTTGACAATGTTAAGAAGGCTCATGCTTATATTGTGGAGAAGCTAAATACATTTCTTAACATTGTTTTAATAAACAATACAACTACAAAATGAAAAGCATGGTTACTAAAAAAGATGATGTGTCAAAAAACGAGTTTTTCCAATTAAAATAGAGACCATTGTTGTGTGGCATGATTTGTAATCTAAGAATACATGAGGTATCTACCTATAGAGAGTTTAGTTTTAATTTATTGGCTAAGCTTCAATAAGTGATTTATTCCACTTTTAACTTACATAAAAAGTATTGGCTTCCAAAACTTCTTTATTTTATATAAAATGTCCAAATTGTAGAAAAATCCTTCATAATATATTTTATCTTACAAAGGATTTTTTTTTCATGAATTTTAGAAATTCATATTTCTTGATTTAATTATTTAGTTTCTCTCAAATTTTTATATAATATTACTATTATCCTTAAGATTTACTACAAAAATAATAAACTATAAATTTGCTATCGATCTTTTGACATCTTAAAAATCCTAGCAGGTACTCTAAATCCTAATTTATAAACACCTGAGAACTATTTTCTTCATATCCCAAAAAACCAAAATTCAAATGCCACAAAATTTACTAACATGATTATACACATTCTTGAAAAAATTTAGCCAAAATCTTATCAAATTGCTCAAGATATAGCTCAAAATACAACTATTAGTAAATTATGTCACTTAATGCCCTTTGATTGCAAGCATTGACTTCAACTTCCAATATCTCTTTTATTCCAACTTAGAATTCATCAAGCAGTATGTAAAAAATATAGTCCAAAAAGTGCTCTCTTCAACTCTAGTTGCCAATCCTTTATTATTTTTTTTATGTATTGTCGTATTGTAATACAACTATATGTTGAAAATATAATCAAAAATAAATTTCTAATTGATATTTAATTATCTTGATTCAATAATAATTCAAGATATTTAAACATGGCTTTTATAAAAGCTTCTTAGTTTATTTTCTTGTCTTAATAGTTAGTAGGTTAAAGGTTAGTTAGTAATTTTACCCTCTAGACTTTAGAGACTCTTTTACTCCCTTAGAATGACCATAAATTAATAAAATCAAATTAGAAGAGGTAAATAATTAGCATAGTTGATACTAGGATTAAGCTGAGGATAGAATTGGACTAAAAAATTCCTATGATAGATTAGATTGATATGTGGGTGTTGACCATTTGTAAGATAGAGTTGAAATTAGACCTCTAGCCACTAAAATGACGAACTAGGGTAAAATAAGAAGACATTCAAAGATCAGCAATTAAGGTTGGAGAGCTAGCTTGGAGCTTATTTTAAAAGCGTAAGGCTTGTTATTGTAGGATTCGATTTGACTTTGAAATTGTTGTTCAAAATCAAGGTTTGTATTGGTAACTTGGAATTTATGCATTACAATTAGGACTAGCACTCTTAGCTAGTTTGTGAAATTGGAATCACATCTATAGTTTAAAATTTGAAAGTACTTAGTTAATTGGGTGTACTAAGTGTAGGTCAAATTTTGTAATAATCTAAAAATATAATCAGGAGATATCTGGGTTTTGATACAAGAAGGTATCAAAAATTGGTAGTTTGAAGTTGAATAGGATTTCTTTGATATCTAAAGATTTACTAGTTGGATCAAAGTAAAATTTGACATGGTACTAAAAGACTTAAAGATTAAGCTACATACCAATTTTGAATTGAATTTAACAATTAAAGAAGAAGAAATCACTATTGACACATTTACATCAACTTTTAAGTTGGCAACTAAGTAACATTCGTGTGGTTTTTGGGCATTTTTTTCACAATCTATAAGTTGGATTAGAGTGAATTCTTTTTGATTACATAGAAGACTTATATTAGTATTTGTGTGCAAAATTTTTCTCTAAGTAGGTAGTTAAATTATGAGCTACAACTTACTAAAGCTTATTGATTATGATTTAGACTTATAAAGAAAAATCAATATTGCCTAAATATAAAATCATTACCTTAACTTTGAGTAGCCATATCTCTTTCAAATTAACTCCAAATTACACAAAATTTATACCAAAATCATAGCCAAAAATCTAAACTTGCCGATCTTAGCCTCTAAAGTTTGAATGGCCTCAAAAGAGTAATCCTAATTCCTAATAAGGCCTTAGACAACCTCATTGAAGTCCATTGGGTATAATTTTTGGCCAATAGGAATAGAGATTTTCATCATCCATACCTAATGGATGCCCTAACTTCTCTTTTTGCTACCAAGATTTCTTGCCAATTATTT